ACTGAGTAGACATCGCAGGAGTAGGCCACACCAATAAGATCATGTTGAAGCCATTGTCGAACACCTCCCGGCGGTTCATTAAAATACCGGTACCCAAATGGACCTCTCGCAGCAAAAGAGGCCAAGAAGTCAGCCGCAAAGTTCGCCTCCCGGAAGACGTGTGTAACCTTCACTTCCCACTGTCGGCTCAAGAGCTCCTTGATCCCCGAGACTAAGCCAATGTGCACGCCCGAGACATCATCACGAGCGTTAGCAAAGGCCGCAACACCCGCATTATCTACCTCGACTTCAACATGCTGAAATCCCAAATCCCATGCAAGGGACAAACCTCGGAACAACCCCCCATAGCTCCGCGGCCATAATTGAGCAAGTACCAATGTTCATTGAGAACCCACCAAGCCAATGTCCTTGGTCGTCACGGATCAAGACCCCCGTACACCCCATTCCGGTCGACGGATTAAATGAGCAGTCTGAATTAATTTTGACCCATCCCGTCTGGGGAGTCTCCCAATTTATCCATTGCGGCGTTCGCGATCTACCCGTGCCCCCAAGTTTGCGGGCTTCATCAATTACGCACACCATACCAGCAACATACTCTGAGATTTCATGCAGCCCGCCCTCGACATCACGACACTTCCCCTGGAAAAGTAACTCGTTACGCCAGCTCTATAGTTTCCACACGACCACGCCAAAAGTGCGCGCCCAATTAATATCGCCACTAAACGACAAAGACAACCATTTAGTTGCAGCCAAGACTCCAAATCTAGTGAAAAGAACTCGTGATGTGTCGAGCTTGGTAATAGTCGTCTCCAAATCTCCGCTGCCATCGGGCATTCGCGACACACATGAAGAGCATAATCCTCGGCTTGACCGCGGCTTTCACACAATGCTAGGGCTGTCAAATGACGTCTTCTACGTTCAACATTGGTGAGCAAATGGTTCTTCACCAGTAGCCAAAGGAAGTGGCGTATACGCTGGGGTCCCGACCACTTCCAGACAGCCCGCCATAGAGATCCCGGGATCGGTCTCGATGCGCCCTCCGCGTCCAAGAATTCATAGGCGGATCTCGTAGTGAACTTGCCTGTAGCCGAGGGTCCCCAGTACAACTGGTCACAACCGAGTTCCTCTCGTGGTGGCGGGACTGCAGCTATTTGTAACAGAACACTCGACGACACCAGGTGTGAGAACAACTCCCATCGTCATGTTCCGCTCCTCGAGACAAAAAATCGTACTTCTTTATCAAGTTTATCAGTCGAGATCATGGTCGTCGTGACATTTTGTAGGATAATATTTGAATGCAGCCATTTGTCAGTCCAGAATTTAAACGTTCTGCCATTACGAACAGCCCAACGTGTGCCGCTAACCACCCACTTCCAGATTTTTTGAACAGCTTGAAACATTCCCGAACTTGGTTTCCGGCGACCAGACATAACATCAAAGGGATTGGTCCCATACTTGACCTTCCAGATTTGTGTCCATAATGAACGTTGGTCGGTGAGGAATTTCCAACCGAGCTTCATGAGCAACGCCTCATTCATCAACCGCTGCCGTTTAATGCCCAGCCCTCCAAGATCTTTCGGCAAGCAAACCTCGTCCCATTTAATGAGACTAAGCTTCCTTTTCCTCGGAGCCCCCCAAATAAATCGTCTTACCCGTTTCTCAAGCCCCGCGGATATGGAGTTAGGCAAATGGACTGATTGCATGGTATAGTACGGAAGTGCATTAATAACAGCTTGGGCCAAGACCACACGTCCAGCCATAGATAGCAACGCTGCTTTTCACCCTGAGAGCCGAGTATCTGCTTTTTCAATCAACTTCTCATACGTTTGGCCTGTGATGCGGCCATGCAAGATCGGGACACCCAAATAGTAGCCGAGGTCCTCCACTTTGTTGAATCCCATTAGGTTTGAGAGAGTCTGCTGCTTTTCTAATGGAACATTCTTCCAAAAAAATATGTTAGTTTTCGACTCGCTCACTTTCAAGTCGGACTGTTGACAAAAGCCGGCAAGAACTCGCTGAAGAGTTTGCACCTGGTCGGTTAAGGCCTCTTGAAAGAGAAAGAGATCATCAGTGAATAACAAATACGAAACTTGAACTTGACCCTGCCCTATACTTAATGGTTTCCACTGGCCTTCGCTAACCGCACGCTGGATGCTATGTGCTAGCCTTTCAATGCAGAGGACAAAAAGGTATGGAGATATAGGGTCTCCTTGGCGCACCCTCCGAGTCGGATGG